CGGGGCCGGACTCGTGGGCTGGCCCGCGCGCGCGGGGGGGCGGGGCCGCGCAGGCGGGACGCGGGGGAGCTCTGGCGCGAGCGCGGCAGAGGGGCGGGTCGCCGGGCTCCGGGGGCGGGGCCGAGCGGCGCTGGAGCGGCAAAAAGCCGCGTGGCCTGCGCGGGTGGAATGTAAACACGGCTGACGGCTGGGGTTCGGGCCCGGCTGGGGTCTGCCAGAAGACCCGACGTCCGTTGGCCTCCGGCGCGCGCGCCCTGTCCCCTCCTTGTACGTCCTCCCCGCCCCCGAGACGCAGGGTTCCGGGCCCTCAGTCGGGGCGGGGATGTGCCCAAGGTCACAGCGCCTGGTCACAGAGCCTAGAACCAGGGCCTCAGGCCGCCTGATCTGGGGCCCCCTGGGGAACAGCTGTTACTCCTGGACGCGCGTCCATCCCTCTGTCCATGCGTGCTTGCGTCCACTCAGCTAATATAGTAGAGCACCTTCCATGTGTGCCCCTTCCCCCAAAATTCTTCAGAAGTCCTTTCTGATTCTGGGATTTCACGCAGACCTCTCTAGCTTAAGTGTTTACATCGACGGGCCATAAAATCAAATCCACACTCCCTGCCCTACAGGACTCCGCGTGGACTGGCCCTCAACCCCTCTCAGACCATTCCTTTAGCCCCCTCCCCTCACAGCTCTTTTGGCCACCCTGTGTCCTTTCTCATGTCAGGGCCTTGGAGTTTGTTGTCCCCAGCTCTAGCCCCTTCTGGCTGCTCATCCTTCCCGAGAACTTCAAGGTCTTCAGTGACCACTTAATTTAGAGCACCCCTCTCCCCAGGAGTTCCTGTTCACCTCATTGCCCTGCTGTGGTTCCTTCACAGCCCTTGCCACCCTATGTCTCTTGCTCCTGTCCATGTTTGGTGCTCCGCTCCCTACCTTGTCTGTCTTGTTCACTGCTGTGTCCCCCAGCTCTTGGCAAAGCCCCTGGAGGAAGGGAGGCACTTAAATCTTACTTGTGAAGGAATGCTTGAAAAACACAATGACCAAGAGAGACAGGTATTGAACAATCATCACTTGAAAGTACCTACTGTACTAAACTTCTAGAAGAAGCATGTAGCAGAGGCTCCTAAACATTCCTAAGCCCCTTCCTGATTTACAGTCCCAGTCTTGGACCTCCTCCCTCCATGACTGTCTTCTTGAAGTTAGAGACTAGATCTTAATGGAGGGCCTGAATTGTGTCATCCTCAGAGGTCCCTGCTAGCAGATTGTTGACCTTCCGGGGCTCTGAGGTCAAGGCTGCTGAGATCACTTGCTCGGATTGGCTTAGGTAGGCATGGGAACCCAGGCTCCTGAATTCCCAGCCCTTAGGTAGTAACAATAACAGGTATCACAGACATTTCCAAAATAGCAGATTTGCCCTACATCCTTCAAAGTATTATCTCAACTAAACTTCACAATAATCCTGTGATATTGATACCATGATTGTCTTATTTCACATATGGCATCTATCTACTTCTTAGGGTCATTGTAAGGATTAAGTGAAATAATGCAGATGAATTGCTGAGTACAGAGCCTGGCACATAATAACTACCAAATAAATGACAATTGTTTCACAATGATAGACAAGACAGTTTTCCATAGTGGTTGTAACAATTTATACTCCTACCAGCAAAGAATAAGAATTCCTGATGTTCTATACCCTAGCTGATATTTTCATCAGTGGTAAAATGGATAAGTAAATTTTGGTATATTCATTCAGTGGAATACTACACAACAATAAAAAGGACAAAGCACTGAAACATACAGCAATATGGATGAATCTCACAGACATAATGGTAAGCACAAGAAGCCAGATACAAAACAGTATTCCTGTGTGATGCCAGTTATTAGAAGTTTAAGGAAAGACAAAAACTGTGGTGACAGCAATAAGACCCCTCTGGGGTGGGGGTTCTGGGTACCACCATACACATGTTTTATATCTTGATCTGAGTGGTGGTTACATGGCTGTGTACATATATAAAAGTTCAATCACATTTGTGATTTGTGCACTTTACTGAGCATATGTAATACCTAAAAAATAAAATAGTTATTTTTTAAAAAAATAATTTAAAACAAAGTAAAGCAAGACTTTAACAATCCCTGCCCACTCGGGAACTTCCAGTCTGGAAGGGAGGCAGTCATGTAGATTGGCAGTTACAGTACAGAGCGATAAGGGCTAGGATGGGAAAATTCTGGGGGCTACGAATTCACGTGGAGTTGGGGGCAAGGGCATCCAATCTACTTCTGGACACTAAGAAGGCTGCTTGGAGGAAGCAGCCTCTAGGTCGGAAAGATGAATGGATTTGGCAGGAACAATAGAAAAGTTACGTCCGAGGCAGCAGAAACAGCCTGCACAAAGACTTGGAATCTTCAGAAGTCAATGATGGCTACTCGTCTGGAGCAGTTCACCTTTGGCTCTTTGAGTTCATTTCATTCTGTGTTCAAACATTGACACAGCCTTGAGGGAGACTGTGCATTACACTAGAGGTGGTAAAACAGCTGCTGTGTAGGGAGGACAGCACCTGCCCTCTGCCATGAGACTTTGGGAAATTCCTTAACCTCTTGGTGCCTCAATTTCCTCATCTGTAAACTGGGTGTGATTTTAATTATTCCAACCTCCAGAGTTGCTGTGAGGAATAAATGTATTAATACCTATAATGCATTTGCTATAGTATCTAGCATAGAGTAAGTGTTCAATATGTATCAACAATTATTATTATTATTATTTATTATTCATTAAAAAATTGGGGGCATTGGCTTACCTTCATATGTGGTTTAGGCCCTGATGATGGTGGAGGGTAAGGAACCAGGATACAAGCGTTAAGAAGTAATCCCATGGGGGTTGCAAGGGGAAAGTTCTTCCCAGATACAATTCCTTAACCCAGGGCCCCCAGGCAGCCTTCAGGGTCCCAGGAAACTGCCTGCTGACAGTGCCGGCCTATCAGGTGCACTTTCCTGGGCAGCTGGTGCATAACTGTTACCAGCTCCATGCAGGCACCTCACAAAAGTTAAGGAGCACTGGAGAGGGCTGATGAGGGAAGGTGTGGGCTGTGACTGGAAGTGGAGCTGGCCCAGGCTTTGCTATCAGGCAGAGCTGGACAACTGTGGCTGCCTGGCTGAGCCAAAGCTGGGGGGTCTTGTGAGGCTACACACAGGAAAACCAGAGGAAGAGGGGTCAGACTGGCTGCACCACTGCACCGGTGCGGGCTGTGGCGTTGGGGCCAGGCAGGACGAGCAGAACCCAGGGCCAAGGAACTGAGTGTGGGAAGGCCTCAGAGGCTTGGCTCCTGTCCTCCCGCAGCCCTGGGGATCTGTCTGCACAGCCTGCCAGGTCAGCCGGAGTCTCAGGCCCAGCCCACTCCCCAAAACTTGATTACTGTTCAGATCAAGCTCACACTGCTATGGATTCCGGGGGGGGGGGGGGGGGGGTGGGGGTGGTGGAGATTAGCAAACCAATAGGTGGCCCAGCCCTGGCCTAACCCTTTCTTACACTGGAAAGCAAGTCCAGTCAACACTTTAGAAAGAGGCTCTGGTTAATTAAAAAACTCCAGTGAAAACTAAAACCTTTAAACTGAGTATATGATAGAATAATGATGGCAGCTGACATTTATGGATTCTGTCCTAAGCTGGGGGTTGCCAGGAACAGAGACAAATTTGAAGACACTTCAAGGAGCGGGAGTGTGTGACCAGGTTGCTGGGGGAGGGGCAGTTAGGCAGCAACAAGCAAGCCCCCCAGCATGGGCTAAGACACAAGAGTGCTTTGTTCTGTGTCTGACCACCATATTCCCAGCTTTCAGCTAAATCGCCTCATCTTGGGTTTTCTGAAGGCAGGCACAGCTGCAAGACACAGAGCAGGGGCTTGGAAAGAGGAAGCCCTGGAATCTCTCTTCTGATCAAGGACTCACATTTTCCTTGCAGCACCACACTCTTGAACTTGATGGGGGAGGGGGACTTGGCCAATCAGGGCACTGCATTCCTGACTGTGTTATTGGTTCAGGGGTAGGCACGTGACCCAGTCTGGACCAGTGAAAATCCTCTGAAGTTGCTAAGCTGATGGGAAGAGTTCTGGAACTAGGAGGCCATCTTGCCACTCAGGGCGACCTTCCTTAGAGGGAGGTCCTCTGGGGGGGGGGGGCAGGGTGCTCAGGGAAGCAGAGCCAGAGGAGAGGGGAGGCAGCCC